GAAAAATTAAAATTGAGAATGGAAATTTTGCAACGTTGACTTATAGTTACGTTCTTTCCGTCTAAGAAACGAGGAATTCCACTTAATCCGAGCTCTACTCGGCAAGACTTCCAATGATTTTTTGCGTCACCGAAAAAGTATCAGAGGACAACAGTAATTTTTTTCTACCTGGCGCGGCGGTTGGATTATTAGCAACCCTGCGATTGTGGACGGATTCTCAGACACAAGAATCTTCATGTCGATTCGGTCAAAATCTTGAATCGCGCGATTGAGGACTTTCGAATGTGACCAAGGTCTTCGTGGGTCCAGTTTTTCGATGATCGGCCCGGGCCGATTATTGAAGAAGAGAAAGTTTGGGGACCGAGGATGCAGGTAGGCATCCTAACTTTCCGAAACCTTCCTGCGCTGGTGCTTTTGATTGAGGTTATGAAAGCGCTCAACAAACCAACCCGCGGGTTTTATTCAAGCGCAAGTAATAAAAACGCAGTCGTCACCTCGTCTTAACGCCCAAAATTCACTCAATTCGGGTTAATGGTAAATGAATATTATTTTTTTGCTCTTCTTCGTTTTTTTATTTTCTACATCCTACCTCATCAATATTTAGTGTGCTGTAGCTGAGAAGATGGTTTTGAATTGGAGAGGAAGAGGGCTAAAGGCTCCGTGATTTTGATGTGGAAGAAAACTACTCGAATTGGACGAATTTTACCCGAATCTGACGAATTGCATTTCGCGTTGCCAAATTTCCTCTCACGTATCTTTTAGGTGACAGGAAACAGAGTTGGCGGCAGTCTTGAAAACCGAGAAAGTCAGGAAATTTGCGGTCATCAGAGGAAGTCAGGATATTCACACGAAGAGTCAGGAAATTTAATGCGTTTAGCAGAAAGGAACCGAGCCACATTCGCTGTATCCAAATTTAACTGGACAATTTCATTTTTTACGAGAGAACTTTTGTACAGATTTCTTTGAACATTTTAGGGAATCTTCTTCGTACTGTGCAGATAATTCACTGAACTTTGCACAAACATCTGCACAACCGTTTTTATCTGAAAATTTAATCGCCCTATTAAATTTGGCAATACTGATGTGGCTTGGTTTCTTTCTGCTTAATGTGGTCCAGTTGAGAGTAATTTAAAGGGGAAAAATCTAAGTGGAATTTTCGAATTTCATGTAATACGAAAATTTTGGAGGCAGGGATAAGCAAAAATATCCGGGGAATCTAAAGATAAAAAAATAATAGCAACCCTGGAAAACCAAATAACCTGACGCCTCAAAATTCACTGCGATATTCTCAAAGATCATAGATAAATAATAACTGCCACAATTTTAAATACAAATCGTACTTAGTTTTCAGTTAGGAACATAAAACCCAGAAAAAATTATGTGACGTCTAGCGTGCTGTCCTAGTGTCCTGGTTTCATCCGTCTAATTAATCTCGACAATAATGTAGAATTTAGCTATTCAAGCGAGTGGTCTCACTACAGAAGCCTAAAATATTTTTCGATCACTTTTGGGGTTCTGGCAATTTTTTTCCTAAAAAAAAAAAAAAAATACGCGCCGTAAGACGTGAAAGAACCACATGAAAAATTATCTCATGAATCAGATATTCAAGGTCTAGTCTCGTGTTTTCGTGAATGCGTGAAAAGTACGCTTCCTATTTTCGCTGCATAAAACCGTATATTTTACACACGGAACAATGCGGTAATCGAAGATTTCCTGCAAGTCACTCATGAAAAGTTATACGAAATCAGTTACTGCCTGTACTCCACCGCACAAAGGAAAAACGCCGTAAGAACATTCGGATGTTGTCAAGATTCTTTCAATTAAAACATTATTTTTGAGGGAAGTTACGAATATTAATCCTTGAAAGTCTTAGATACTTCAGCGCACATTGTAAATAATACTCTAAAAATTTTGCAGAAAATTGTTTATTCGTTTCTCGAGCAAATTGTATATTTAATAGAAGGAAATTTGGCAACCTTCTAAGGCTTATACGGTGCCTTTCCCAAGCATAGCAGCACAGAGAGCCGATTAATGCTTGGCATTACGCCGAGCGAGTACTTTGAAATGACGGATCACATGTTAGATTGTTTAACTATGACGTCACATTAAAATCCCACAAGCATGGACGTAATTTTAACAACTCCCCGCGAAACTCGAGGCATCAAACTGTCAATTTTCGCGCCTTTTTGTTCGCATGTTTGTTTCGGTTTTAATGGCATGTTAACAAGGACTCATGAAAGCATGAGCCCTCGCGTATATAGTCATAGTTTCGTCCGAAGGACTTAAGCAAGCTACATGGAGGGTTTCATGCCACTGATAGTAAGATTAAGTATCGTTCATTTTAACTTGTTTGATCAGATGCGCATCACGCATCATCTCCGAAGTTATACTGCAACTACCTGCTTTTTTTCTTTTTTCTTTTAAAATGAGGCCGCAGATCAAAATGTTGTCCTCATGTGTTTTTACTCTGTAAAAATATACCGAGTAATGACATAAACCAATCGTAATGACATTACACTGCAGACGTTATTCTCTTATCCTGTTTCCCTAACGTAAATTTTCCTCGGGTTTTCATCAGTTCTGTCAAAAATGTGAAAATTTATTTTGAATTTTAATTTACCTCGTAAAATATTTTGTTATATTCCTGGACGTATCTAAAATCGAATGAAAAATCTAGGGTCAGAAACTCACTCCGAAATATCTCAAGATCTCTTAAAAAATTTAATGTAGTTTGTTTCGATTTTTCAGATAGTAGTGGAATATACATAGAATTTTTTTCGATCGCTCAAATATAATGGGACTACATTTTGCAATTTGGAACCATAAATTCTAGCTCGGTTTAAAAACAACGTATGTGCCATTAGTTTCCCTATGTACATAAGTGTTTTTCCAGAAGAGCCAGAATTTATAGTTCCAAATTGCAAAATGCAGTCCAATTGAATTAACATCAAATGAGGACTTGATTTAAAATTCCATCGAAATTCCGCCTGAAGCTACCTTAGTTGAAACGAACAGTGAGTGGACATGGTGAAATTTCAAAATTTTGACCCTTGATCGGTAATCAGGCGAAGTCGAGCGTCGCGAATTCTTATCAGTCACCAAGAAACAATCAGTGCGTTAGAAAAATGAGGAAAATTTACGATCAGAATAGTTCGGATATCATTGAAACCGAGCCACAATCACTGTGCGATTCACATCTTTCCTCGCTCAACAGGTGGACGGATTCTAATGAGGTTTTTTCCGATGTATCTATACAGGGAGAGAATGGTCATGTCTTTGCCGCTCTCTGATAGGTTCATCAGTCTAAGACTTTTCATTGGGCTCTCAAAGACCAGTGTAAACAAACCCGATCCACGGGTATATAGTATTATCGAAGCAACGAATGATACTCGCAGAAAAAGTGTCTTCCTCAGCGAAAATACTTATCAAAAAGTTTGTTCAGAGCTTATTTATGAGTTGAAAATTAAAAAAAAATCATATAGTGTCCTGGATTCTGTTGCCTTACTGTTTGTTTATTTTGTTCCTAAACTAGGGGTAGAAGGGATCCGATGAATGCCGATAAAAAGCAGCACAGTTTTTCCGTAGTAAAACGATTGCGACTACTCTTCTCACATCAGTAATTTCGAGCAGAAAGGTCGTAACTAAATTGATTGTCTTTTTGTGGAAACTGCTTTGCGACACCATGGATTCCAATGTAGTATTCGCAATTTTTGAAGTGTTACATTTTGCGTCTAGTTCAAGTTATCACTACCGAATTTACTTGCACACAATCTCGAGCCTCTTCTCAGCTTATGAAGGATGTGAACTACTCGATTTTTCCTCGTTGGTCCCGATCGATTTGCTCTAAAACACCGATGTTGGTACCTAGCAGGACTCTTAGCAACCGAGAAAATCAGGGAAACTAGAGGTAAAACCGCGACAAGGACTTTAAGAACTTTACAGCAATGACGGTTGAACATGTTAAGTTCTGATTAATCGTGTGATTTTATTTCTAAACTCTGCCTTTACTTTTCTATCGCGAACATAGTAAAAACCTCCCAGCACTTCACACCAATGACCGTTGAAACTTTCAAATTCTGATGATGTTATATTCTTAAGTTAGCCTTTTCCTTTCTATCGCGAGTCTAAGAAAAAACTTTTTTGCTCTTTACAGCAACACTGGAAAAAAACACATTGGATCTAGAGTTCAGACTCTTAAAAACATCGACAAGAAAAAGCGCTCTTGATTCAATCAGAATCTAGCTTCAATCAAGAACCAAGGCTCTTAATCCAAGCGGATTTCGTTTTGATTCAAGCAAAAATCCGATGGAATCAAGAGTATTTTTTCTTGTCGACGTTTTCAAGAGTCTGGACTCTAGATCCAATGTGTTTTTTTTCCCAGTGAATGACGGTTGAAAATTTCAAATTTTGATCGTCCGTGTGATTCTACGTCTAGATTCGGCCTTTTCTTCTCTATCGCGAGGCCTTTAAAAACCGAGGGCACACGCAGGAAAGCGAGACACTTCAAAATGCTTCGAACCCTATCTAATTTTTTCAAAGTAACCTGATTCTATGTCTAGATTCGGCCTTTTCTTCTCTATCGCGAGGCCTTTAAAAACTGAGGGCACACGCAGGGCAGCGAGACACTTCAAAAGACTTCGAACCCTATCTAATTTTTTCAAAATAACCTGATTCTATGTCTAAATTCAGCCTTTTCTTGTCTATCGCGAGGCCTTTAAAAACTGAGGGCACACGCAGGGAAGCAAGACACTTCAAAATACTTCGAACCCTAATTTTTTCAAAATAACCTGATTCTATGTCTAAATTCGGCCTTTTCTCCTCTACCGCAAGGCCTTTAAAAACTAAAGGCACACGCAGGGAAGCAAGACACTTGAAAATACTTCGAACCCTATCAAATTTGTTCAAGATAACCTGCATGATGGAGCATGGCTACGATAAGCTCACCACGACACTCACAAGAAACCACGTGTGCACGTATTGTACGCGTGTGTGTGACGCACCTGAGATCCCTGGGCAGCGTTTTCCATATCCGAACGACCTGCTTCCGCTTGTAGATGAGCGACCAGCAGACGGCGAAGGCGATTATCTGGAACCACGTCCGCGAAAAGGCCAAACTGCAGACGACCAGGGCGACGCTGGCCGCTATGTACTGTTGCTTGGAGCCCATTTTAGTCCCGACGACCGACGCACCTGTTACCACTTCGTTCGCCACCGAACTACTGCCCGCCGTGTTTACTTCCCGCGACACCTCGCCGCCACTTCGGCCGCGCTCGCGCTCCTTCGGTTCACGCAACTCGCGCGTTTCGCTCCCGCTCGCCGCTTCACGTTCAGTCGTCGCTCGCGCGTTTCAACGTCAACGTCAACTGCCGCCGCCGCGCGCGCGGCTCTCCTGCGTCCCGGACGGTGCGACGGTGCGGTGGTTTTCAAGGTCGCGCGCGCGTCTCCGCGCGTCAGGTTGTCGAACGATCGCCACGAGCGGCCCCGTTCGCGTCCGCACTCGCGCGAGTAAGACGCGTCACGTCACGGTCGAACGTCGAGCGCATTCCTCGTCGGGCAAGTCTCCCAGTAAGTCACCGCCAATGACGGGTCATCCCATAGAGTACATAGAGTCGTAATGTAAGTGTTAGAGCTGGCGCCACTTTTAAGCATTTTCCATGTCCCGAATTCCGAGACTCCTGTGTGACGCCGGGTCACTTTTTCGATACATAATCGATTGTTTGCGATACACGGGTACCCGGCCATCCGATGACAACAACAACAACAACAGCAACAAAGGAGATAGGAATTACCCAGAGACAAGAGACCCTCCACTGGCCTCCTAACGACAGGTGGAAGATTTTACTTTCGGGGATTCAACAGTTCCTTATGGACAATTATTAGGGAGCAACAGTCATCACCTCAATTTCGGCTGTTGACCTACCTACATGGTCGATGATGAGCTTCGGGTGACGTCATGAGCCAAACAAGTTCCCTAAACTTCGGCCATTTTCGGCTTGTTTGCGAAACGAAACTGCCAACACGTTGTTAAACATCAACCATGTAGGTAAGTCAACAGTAGAATGCTGAAGTCCCGAAAGTAAAAGCTTCCACAATGGCCAAGATACTAGTGGAGGGTCTCTTGTCTCTGGAATTACCACGTATTCCACACCGCCATTTTGGATCGAAAATGTATCGAAAAAGCGACCCGAACTCGGCGCACACCGGGCTCGGAATTCGTCGAGCAGAACATGGCGCCTAGCTCTCCCATTTACATTACGACTCTATGCACTCTATGGGTCATCCTACTTTTCTGATCCGGAGGGATTCATATTCTGTTGGAAAGTGGTGAAGCTGGAACAGCGGCTCGATAATTGAAATTGATAGTCAAAGCTATAGGCGAAGCAATAGACATAGAGATAGACGAAGCAATAGACATATAGATAGTCAAAGCGATGGACGTATAGATAGCCAGAACGATGGGTGTAGGTATAGACAAGGCGATAGACATAGAGATAGACAAAACGATAGACAAAGTGATAGACGTGAAGACGAAGCGATAGCCATAGCGATAGACGAACAAGACAAAGGGAAGATGGAGCGACCCTGACGGTGTAAGCGGGTGGTTGCAATGGACAACGAAGGTGAGGACTAACTATCGGCAACCTATGTGAGACCCCATAGTTAGTCTATTATTTTCCCTCTTGGTCTACAAAAACCACCCCTTACAACTCATAGGATCGCCCCATTTCCCTTTTGTCTTCTCTGTACATAGCTTTGTCTATCACTTTCCATAATTAGGCCGAAGAGAGGTGGACGATCAATTGAACGGAGGTGAAACTGTAACTGAAGTGGTTCGAGGGATAATTCTAGGGGTCTTTTTTAGTCGTATCCCATATCAGCAGAACGCAGTTCGCCTTCAATCAGAATTTTAGGCAAAAATGCATCCCAAGCGTTAAAATAGTTGTATCTTCAGAAGTAGGCCCACAGCTTCGCACTCCCGCCGCGACAAGCCCAGCGTGTATGAAGGATATTTCCATTTTAATCTTCCGTCACATTCTTACGGCGCAATGATACAACTATTTGAACTCTCCGGAATGCGTAAGGTATCACGCCGCATTTGAAGGCGTTTTCAAAACAGTCAAGTTCCGATATCCGGATTATCGTTTTGCATAGTTCATATTCTTTTGTTATATTACGTGCCACTTGTTTGTTTTCAATTGTCCTATAAAAACTACTCATTTGCTGAATACACGTCTGCCTGGAGCGATTTTTAGCTATGCATTCACGACTGCAAAAATGTCAAAAGAAATCGAGAAGCCCAGCGTGCATGGAGGCTATTTCCACTTTAATCTTCCGTCACATTCTTACGGCGCAATGATACAACTATTTGAACTCTCCGGAATGCGTGAGGTATCACGCCGTATTTGAAGGCGTTTTCAAAACAGCCAAGTTCCGATTCCCGGATTATCGTTTTGCATAGTTCATATTCTCTTGTTATATTCCGTACCACTTGTTTATTTTTAATCCTCGTATAAAAACCACCCATTTGCTAAATACAATTCTAGCTGGAGCGCACTTCAGCTATTCATTCACCACTGCAAAAATGTCAAAGGAAATTGACAAGGCCAGCGTGTATGAAGGCTATTTCAATTGTAATCTCCTGTCGCATTTCTAAGGCGCAATGATACAACTATTTGAACTCTCCGGAATGCGTGAGGTATCACGCCGCATTTGAAGGCGTTTTCAAATTAGCCAAGTTCCGATTTCCGGATTATCGTTTTGCATAGTTCATATTCTTCTGTTATATTCCGTACCACATGTTTATTTTTAATCCTCGTATAAAAACCACCCATTTGCTAAATACAATTCTAGCTGGAGCGCACTTCAGCTATGCATTCACCACTGCAAAAATATCAAAGGAAATCGACAAGTCCCGCGATAAATGTCGCATGCTGGAGGACGTGGTTTTAACTGAACAGCTGAGCGCAGTTCGCCTTCAATCATAAGTCTAGGCAGAAATGCATCCCAAGCGTTAAAATAGTTGTATCCTCAGAGATTGACCTATACCCTTCGCGCTCCCGCAATAAACGCTGCGCGTTACAGAGCGTGGCTTTACGCTTTAAATGAGCTGCAGAACACAGTTCGCGTTCAGTCAAGAGTCTAGGCAAAAATGCATCCCAAGCGTTAAAATAGTTGTATCCTCAAAGACATGCCGACACGTTTCGCGCTCCCGCAATGAACGCCGCGCGCTACAGAACGTGATTTTAAAAGAGCAGTACCTTTGAACGCAGTTCGCCTTCAATCAAGAGTCTAGGCAAAAATGCATCCTGATTATTAAAATAGGTGGTTGCATCCTCAGAGATTGATCTATTCTACACGTCTCGTACTCTGACGACATACCCCGCATGTTGCGGTGCCTGGTTTTAAATGTGGATCAGTATACGATTTGCCTTTAATTCCCAAGTCTAGGCAAAAATAGAGCCCATTCGTGTTTTTCTCCCTTACGAGACTCTAATTTTGATTCTGCATAAATCATTATAGCTTCCATTCCCGAATAGAATTCGTTAATTGTTAGTGTCAAATTTTCTAATTCTTAATTTCAAACATTGCTTTTTGTTTCAGGTTTGTCAGAAGCTGCATGTCTAATGAAGGAACCTGAAAATCGTGAAAAGAATCTTCCCTGATGATGTGACCTACAAGTTCACTGAATGCTTTCAGACCTCTTGAGATAAGAGCCACTGAACCTAACTGACTTCAATAAATTGGTAGTAGCAACTTCAATTCATTAGTTGGGAAGTTCTCCCAAGTTGTCAGTGATGGAGAGTTGTTTGCTGGTCATCTGTAAATTTAAACTCCAGAAACCATGAAAAAAACGACTATTGAAGAAGATGAGGAGGGTATCTCATCACCTGTCCTATCAACAACAATCTTATCACCCATCTTATCAACCACAATCTTATCACCTGTCCTATCAACCACCATCCTATCGCCCGTTCTATCGACGGACAAAAATCTCTCAAAAGTCTCGGCTGTAACAAAAAAATTTGACTTTAAACCCAGCAAGTCACCCCCAAATCTGTCTGTATTAGATAGGAAAAATGCAGAAAAATCAAAAGATGAAGTTAATTTTTCATCCAACTTATCAAATATGAGTTTATGTGCAAAAAGTAGTAATATAAAGAGACCAAAATCTAGCTCAGTCGAAAAGTTGCCAACAAGTTCGGTCAGCAAGAGGAAAATTCAAGATGTTGAGACGCCACCTAAAAATCAATCGAAAACCAATAAACTGTACCAAGCTTCTAGTGAATTTAAAGAACCTTGTTTAAACATAAATAGGAACAAATCGAAAACCAAGAAAATTCGCCTCTTCGCTCATGAGCCTTTTGACGATTATGAAAATATATCAGAAAATCCATCAATATCCATAGGCACGAAGCCTGTGGAATTAGAATCTGATAAACCAAAAGTTTTTGAAGACAGTGATTCTGCAGAATTTGGTTCACCAGAGCTAACATCAAGAAAAATTATTTGTTCCAATTCAGTTTCACCAGAAATAAAAACCAAGAAAGCCCTCCTTAAACACCAACAAAAAATAAGGCACTCCGGAAGCTCCAAAAATAGCTTTTGTGTTCCAAATTTATCAAAAAGTCGCATCAACAAAGAGGATATAATCACAGAAAAATCACAGTCAAATAATGTAGAGCAATTAAATCCCTCTAGCTTTCAACGGACCATCTTTTCCACCAATACAGATTTAACGATGAAAAATGTCCAAGCAATTAGTAATGTGAAACATGATGAAATTCCCTCTGACCGTGAAGTGAAATCCATCCCGCTAAACAATCCTGGAAAACTGGAAAGTGGCTCACCTGGAAGTAAATCTAAAAATGTTGCCTGTAAAAAAAAATCTCTGTTGGATTCACCGACCTCTCCTATTTTGGAGATTAAATCCTCAGGCGCTAAGAAGAAAAAGAAAAGGTTCAAACCTTCTATTGGAGAAGATGCTAATTCGTTTCTTAGTGTTGAGTCTCACCATGAGAAAGAAATCCTTACCAATGAAGCAGATGTAACTTATTTCAATGAAGAATGTACCTCACCCCTTGTCTCATCAAATAGAGTTCAAAAACCAAATAGGTCAGAAGTGAAGATGCACTCATCAGTTTTATCACCAGCAAAACGTCATGAAAAAATAGCAAACGATACCTCAACTCCACATGGATGTTCATCTAATCAGTTTTCACCTTTCAATTATGAGCACTCTGATTATTCGCCTGCTATCATGTCATCGACCGGAGCCAATATTAAGAATATTTGTAAGAGATTAAGTTTTCACTCATCCACTTCGGAAAAGCGAAGAAGTAAAGGGGCAAAACCTTCTCTCAGATTGGATCTCAAAAAGAAAAATAATCTAGATGATCAGTTTAGTAGACTCAGTAAATTTTGTAAAGTCAACACTAGTTTAAGCACGAAGAGTCCATCAAATTTAACAATCCGGAAATCAAAACTCAAGAGATTTGATGCAAATAAAGAGGATGAATTAACGTCAACATCAAATTTGAGTAGTTCTGTAAACTTCTACAATTTCGATAAATCACCATCGCCAGTTTTAGAGTCTTCAATGAATTCAGTATCAAGACTTAACAGCGTAAAAGACAACAGCGAAGCTCCTGAAAAGTTTGACTTTTCATCGAAAGCTCAAGTTGATGAATCGCATTTATCGGAAAGTGAACGAATTGATGATGATCCACTTTCCCCCTGCTTCAAAACACCTAAAAAAGTGGTCAATCGTGTTACCTCTTCAAATATGAGCTCAGATCTCAGTGGAAATAAATTGAATCCCTCTACTAAATTTAAGTTTAGCTTTAATGACAATGCAAAAAGTGTAGACAATAAAAGAATATGTATCACCTCTTCACATATGAGCTCCAATCTTAGTGGAACTAAATTAAAGCCCCCTATTAAATTTAAGTTTAGCTTTAATGACAATGCGAAAAGTAAAGACGATAAAAGATTATGCTGTAATTCAAATGAACCTGCGTCCCCCATTTTAGAGTTTCGCAAATTTAAAATTTTGAAATCAGATCATGTAACTGAAAGTAACTGTGATATCAATGCAGACGGAAGCTCTCAAATTTCTCAAGCTCAAGATTTGATTAACGTAACCGACGTCGACATCGAAGAAAATATGACCGATGATCAAAAAATATTGAATGAGACGATTTTTGAAGAAAGACCTAGCAAGGAGAATCTGCAAATCAATGCTGATATCGTTGAAGATGATGTGACCAGTTCGCAAGCAGAGAACATTGTTGCTAGGACTCAAGGCTCAATGACCATTGAGGTATCTGAATCCTCCGGGACACAACAGTCTCAAATTTCAGATGGGAATCTTCCTTGCGATAAAGCCCAAAATGAGGTAATTTATTGTTTTATCTTCTTTCGTCTTTGGTATTAGAGACACAATTGCAATGAGTTAAACAATTTGTTGCCACTGAAAGTGTGGCAGATGAAGAAAATAAACGAGAGAAATTTTGCAAGGAAAAAGCATGATGTTTTGTGGTCAAGTTGAGATTAAATGGGAGTTTAATCATTTTTAGGCCTTGTCTAAGCTTATTTCATGGTGTATCTGCTTAATTGACTACATTTTGGTTTCATGCAAATCTAGGTGACTGAATTCCCTCAATAGTTTATTAATGATAGCCTTTTTTAAACATCCTCCTGTGTCCATTTTATTTGGTTGTCACATCTTATTGGCTTGTAAAAGCCTTGAAAGCCTTTTTAATTTGATAAATATTTCATTATTTTCAGGAATCAGCAGGACATCAGCCAAGCAATACTCGAATAAATTTACCTCCACCCAATGATGAAGTTTTTGAGTCTGCAAAAAAGAAAAAACGGCGGTATAAGAAGTAAGCAAAATAAATCATTTCTTTTACTATTTATTTATTTATTAATCAATATTGTTCGAGTAGTAAACATATTTGTTTTAATGAGTACGAATATGACATGTTCAAAAGTTTTCAGCTGTACAAAGTGGTAAAAGAGTCTTTACGCCTAATTGGCCATGAACCTTATCTAAGTTGAGGCAATTTATGATAAAATAAGTAAACTTGAAGTCCACTCTATAAATCTCCTAACCGTACTATTTAAAATTGTGAATCATGCAAAAAAAAAAAAAGGATATAAACTTGGAGGTTTAGTGGAAGGAAGGGTGGAAGGGCTTTAATGCATAACACCAATCTTTCAGTGATCACCTGAATTATAACATGAAGATTCAACAGTTGATAATTTCAGTACGCATGTACCCGATCTCCTTTTTCTCCTGTTGACTAGATTTCTTTTAACAATATTAAATTGCTTCTTTTGCTTCAGTGGAACCCTTTCTGCAAGACTGAATCGGTTATTGAAACGAAGCAGGTCAGAAATGAGAATGTGGGCTCATGAAATGCAAAATGAGGCTTCTGATCCTGTGGCCATTAACTTTATTGTTGATGTTGTTTCATATGAAATGAATAAATGGCTTCTGAAATGTAGAGTAATTTCTGACTCTGGAGAAGGTAGGTGTATAAGACATAATTTTAGACACCTTTTTAGTGTGTATTTTGTGGTATAGCCATGAGTTTCTTTCTTCTTCCAATAAGATATACTATTCATTCCAGTATTACCTCCTGAATATTGACTCACTTTTAAGTATTCAAGATAATAGCAAGTTTAAGTAAAGAGTGAGCAGGTTACCTCCTTTTGTGACATATTGTTGAAAATGAAATGAAAAAAAACGACTTCGGCCTAGTCTGATAGCAAAAGAAAATTTTACTATATTGTATTTTATCAATTTTTTCTCCTAAGATAAGTTATCCAGTAAAGCTGCTTAATACCTACCACGAAACTTCAAATTTTTATCTATCAACTAGCACCATCCAGGTTTCTTTGCATCTTTAAAATACGATTAACGAGTGTTCGGGACATATAATAGGATGTGAAAACTACAAATTGTAAGTGCTGTAAGTTGCACTTTTTAAAATTATTTTGTATTTTCAGCAACTTTAATGCCTTGAATTTGTTAAAAGCAAAATTTTACCCTCGCATGCCGCTATTTTTAAATGATAGTACACAGAAACTTAAATGCACACTCAAGGGTTATTTTTCCCTCACTATTCTGTCATCGATTAAATTTTCAATGTTGCCTTTTGATACAAAGTCAATCTAAGGTGACTCCTTGCCCATTGTGGGTACCATTTTTTCTCGGATAATTGTTAATGCAAATTACAATTTTCAAATGACTGATAGATACCTAGTAAAAACTAACTCTGCTCTCTGCAACTTATGCATTTTTTAGGGTAAAGGGTATAACATTTGGACCCTAAATTGTAACTGTGGCTGCAATAGCTCAGGAGGTAACCAGATTTCTGAATGTTCGCTGCACAAGAAACTCAAAAGGTTTACTTAAATTTCTACTTGAAAGAAATATCCACCTTTGTCACACTAAAATAACCTGAATTGATTGTTTTCTAGGTAGTAGCAGCAATCCATATTTTGTAATTTTACATCCTAGTCCAATAAATAATGCATTGGTGACTCCGGGCACAGTCTTGAAAGTTTTTCCTAAATGGTAAGTTAGTATGTACCTGAGTTTTATTTTTACTCCTAGGTACTTCTGATTTTTTATACTTACCGTCACAAAGATGGTTGCAAGTCTAATGATCATCTTTGGTTTTTCTGTTAGATGTATAGCTATCATATATTTATCCATTTATCGATCATTTTTAAAATTTCTCCAACCTAAATGAGAAATGTTCATGTAGTAAAATGAAAGACGAAATGTTTTGCCTCATAATTTTTGGTAATTGACTGTTTCTTGAAAGCATTGAGTTGTATGTAATACTTTTCAGTAATTGTATTTCTCTGATGATGTGTATTGCAGGCAAACTTTAGACCTCCTTTCACCGAAAATGACAGTCGTTTACAATATCTCTCGAGTGAAGCTTATTCCAAATCCATCACCATCGAGTTTGTATAGACCAGAATGTAAATCAAAACAAATCATTCAAGTAGTAGATCCTCTTTGCAGCTGCTCTCGAGGTTAGTATCTTTTCGTTTTTGAACTCAATCAATACCTAAATCTTCTCTGACCTACCAATGTTTCTGTATCCTGTCTCTTGTGATTCCTCCTGGTCAAAGTCCAGTATGTCTTGTCATTAGAGAAAGTCAAGACAGAAGATCATAGCTTCTTAATAAATACTCAAAAAATGAAAAGAAGAAAGAAAAAAAAAAACCCCCAGAAACCAGGAAGCTTTGAAACGTATGTTTTAGAGCCCCATTAGTGGTCAGTGACGTTTTAAAGTGATAAATGCAAATTTTTTCACCAAAATAAATTGCCCTCCTTTTTTTATTAAAAAATTTTATTGGAAAAAAAATTACATCTCCACCTTATTAGGTTTGGAAATGCCTTTAAAAAGTTTGGCTATTATGTCTTCAAACTAAATATCTTGCTGTGTGTCAGTTTTTTGACTTACTGTTCTAAGACCCCAAAAGAAACTAAGCCTGCATTATTTTTTTGTATGACTGTCTATTTTAAAGAAACTGCACTATCTGTAGAGAATTTAAGTTAAGGGAATAAGGCAGGAAATGAGGAGATGCGATCTGCTGGAGGAGCTCTGGCAGGATCGCTATCAGTTGTGGTTGGGTGTCGCAGAGCACACCGAAGCGCTATAAGAACGACTTGTTAGTGGTAGTAAGTTGAGAAAAATAATTATCGTGTTCCACCGCACGACATCAAACACATTCAGAAAAATATAGTGGGCTAATCTTCTCTCAATTTGAGAATAATTTAACAATGAGTATGTGCATCATTGAGACTCAGTATCATTAATTCTATGATGGAGGGGCCTTGGAGAACAAGGAGCATAAGTGCAATTTTTGAAGAAATTGAGATATTAATTATTTCAAGCAAAACTAGTCTTAATGCGTATATTTTGAAAAATTTGCTCCCCCATTCAAATGTTTAAGCATCAAAAAGTTAGTTTGAACTCTCTTTCCGCCATACGGATCCATGCAATTCTGAAACTTCCAACACGCACTCCTCAAAATAGTAAAAACTACACTCATGTGCCTTGTCCTCCAAGCCTTCCAATTCTGACGGCAGGCTAAAAGCAAAATGTGATCAGTATCTGCTGAGAGCTGAACAAAAAAATTATTTTATACCAATAATGCATTGTTTTCCTCAATATTGAGTTATTTTTTGTTTTTTGGCTCCTCAAGAAAATCGTACCAGTATACCTAATCAAATCAGTAATTTCCTATCAGTATCATTTTACCTCCATACCTAGAATAAATGGACATTTTTGTATCTCTTGTTTCAGATTTAGTTCTCACAAATTGTGTTCATAAAATTTTAAGTAGACAAACATTCCTTGGTCCATTGATTCCTGTGACCAACAGTGAGTGAACTTCCACTCCTTTGAACCATCTAACAATCGTTTATACTCATCATCTCACTCAGGTCATCATCATTCTTTCGATTTCAATTTTGGTGCAATACTAGCGCGTAAGGACACTTTTTGATTTTTGTTTTTAACCAATCAATTTTTTGTCAAGATTCTTCGCTATTATTTTATAATCTTTTTTTCATTTTATATCTTAATGTCCATACCTTAAGGAGGCTCCAAAATAAAGAGTGGAGTCTGGTCATTAAAGTACTCTGCCATAGGTTCCTTCCTAGAACGCTCAAAACCAGAAGCAGAAGTTTGAGAAAAATGTACGCTAGACGTTTACAAGCTTGAACCGATTGAATTCTTCTCTTAGTTCCACTAACTTCAACTAATTTCTTCATCCTGACAACTGTCTCTGTTTTTCCTTGATTTTTTGTTGCTTTTACTTAAATGAAAGAGGAACCAAGGAGAGTTATTAAAGTAGTTTCTCTTTTTTCATGATGTTGCCACGGTCCAGTCAATCTCCTCTATTTTGTGCCTTATTTAAAATTAGTATGAAGTTTAATTTGACATGAGACTTGTTATCTACAAATGATGTTTCAAAAACCCTCCTTTTGACCGATCGCAAGTCTGCAACTATGATGTGATATTGTTCCATCAATTCTCCGTTTATTTCTCTCTTTATTTGTTCTAATTGCTATTTTTGATGTCATTTTTTCAAATCCTTCCTGATATCTATGCCTTACTTGCTTTCATTTCAATAACTTTTTAATGACATTCAGTTCTATCAAACCATCTAGGTTAAGAGTCAAAGTAAATGAATGCAACAAGCATTCAATTTTTTTTTTTTTGCTTTTTGTATAAAATAAGGAGTTTGCCCCCTTTGTTTTCATGAACAAACATAATTTATGAATGATGACAAAAATTTGAAAAACAAGGTATCAAGGAAAGAACTTGCAACTAAATAGTCATCGATTTCGTTCTGGCAAAAAAAGAAAGAAAAAAAAGCAGTCAATCATACCTGTCTGGCTAGTAGTGTCTGCGGAAACTTTGTCACATTCCTGCCAAAATTAATGTCGCAGCAATGTTTTTGCAACATTTTCCTAACATTATTTTTGGCAGTTCTTTGGTGGGTATATAGTAACTTTTTTTGACTCTGATTATAAATTCTTCTCTTGACACTACATAATAAATAATACATCCATTACTTGAGCACCCTGTCTCACCACTACCTAATTCAGAAACTTCCCTTTTTTCACCCGTAATTCAGATATTCCAGTATCTACTAATCACAACAAAATCCTCTAAGCTCCTGCAATTTATTCTAAAATAAATCCACACAGAAGTTTCTATGCTGAATTTTTGTATGTCGTCTTGAACTCTTTATCCATAGAAGCTATTGGTTTTTGTTTTTTTTCATTTGTTGAAGTGCAGAATTTTTTGTCATTTCATTTTTGAGACTTTACGTTTATTTTATCTAGTCTTTTCATTCATGTTCAGAAGTCTAAGTGAAGTAAAATTTTTCTTTGAAGTTTACTTGCGGCTCTTTATTTTAACTATCCTATATTAATCGCTGAAAGATTTCTCTGTAGGCACATTAGCCTCCATATAATGGCTTTCTCAGGAGAAACTCTTCTCAGCATGAGACATGCATGTGTGAACTAGTCTGTCAATAATACTTAATTCTTCAAGCATGGAAAAAGGCGTACCAGTCTTTCCCAAGTCATGATAAAAACATCCTAAATACATTGTGGTTCATATCTCCCAATGAAGTCAATGTCAGCTCCAGCGAGATGAGAAAAAAAAAAACACCAAGAAGTGGCCCGAACTGTATGTAACAAGGTGGAGAAATAGTACTGGGTCCACACCATTTCGCGGGGAAAACGAAGCCCAGAAGTTCCAACAATTATAATTAGAGTCAAAAATAATTTCTTTTAACTCTAATGAGTACCAGTACAAAACTGAGGTTGGAGAGTGTTCAGCTCAGGCACTTTGCATTGAAATATTTATGCTGTCTTGGATTTTGCGGCATGTTCAGTTGCGTCCACTGACTAGTGTGATCTGCTGATGAGGTTTGAAAAGACCCAAACCGGTATAGATCTCTCGGCGTGACTCCAACTTAATATTCCAATGCAAACTGCCTGAGCTGAACACTCTCCCCCTTCAGTTTTGTACTGGTACTCTTTAGAGTCAAAAAAATTTATTTTTGACTCTGATTATAATTTTTGGAACTCCCTGGCTATGTTTTCCCCGCGAAATGGTGTGGACCCAGCACCAATTCTCCACCTCGTTACATAGTGCGAGATGGAGTGACTTTTCTCAAGTTAAAGAACAGCTGAAAGACGCGAAAACGGTGCTATTCCACGCATACGGGCGGCGCGGTCAAGCATGGGTGCCCACGCTTCTAGCGTATTTTCAAATTTCGCGGCATTTCGTACCTATCCCGTTGACGCAGAGCGCGCCAACGGCAGCGCAAACGGCCGGGCTGGGCTGACTTCGTTGCTATGACAACCGTGCATTCTGTTAGTAAACACATTAAACGGCGATCTGAGTTTCTTTGCATGAATTATCTGCAGTAAAAACTTTTTCAAGCGCCGGCATGCCAGTATCATTTACTCTCTATTTGTTTAGTTTTACCACAGTATTTTACTGTTATGCTACTCTGTTGTGATTTTTTCATTCAAATTAGTACAAATATTTATTTTAATACCCGAAAGGTCCATTTCTGTGTGACATCAAATTTTTCTGCTACTATGATCTAATGTACTTAGATGTGCATCAACAATATAGTTAAATAACACTGCTATTTTTTTTCCAAAAAAATTTATAGACTGGATCCTTACTTTCATCCAGTCTTGAAACTGAAAGGAGCATTTTCTCGTTTATAAAGTTGACTCCGTGTATGGACCGTTTGGCATAATCATTATCTTCGTCACTTCTGAAGATAAGAATTTTTCTCCATATCTTATTCAACGTACATTAAAGTTGATTGCTAGTTTAATGTATTCGGCTACAGCTCTTTACAACAGCTTTTCATGGCAGAAGTCCATATCATCGGGCAAATCAAGTGTGCTAGCCAATTTCCAAAAACTTGCTTGTTCTGTAAATGGAGTATACATACTGGTAGGTACTTGATGTAAATATTTGTTACTTGCAAGAATACCTGTAGTTTTTACAGGATTTCAGCTTTGTTGATAGTTTTGATTTTTTATATCTCTATTCCAAACAAATATGTCTGTATTTGCATTTTCTTCAATTTCCCAAGTAAAATTTGCCATAGCATTTGGGAAATGCAAAACAGAATTCAGAAACACAGTTATATTTTTTAGAAACAGAAGAAATAAATTATGAAAAGTTTCTACGACGATTTCTATGTAGAGGTGTGGGTCTTGGGCCAATGAACTTTTTGTGAATACAGGTACCTACAAAGTTTCTTTGCACAAGATGGCATTTTCTCTGATTTATTCTCTGTAATTGTAACACTTTCTTATTTATTTTTGGAACTTAAAATATCCTTTTATCATAGACATCACGGTTTTATTTTTTTTTTGCTTTTGAATTTTAGGGCCCAATTGGAAACTGATTGAAGGTGACAAAGAAGGCCAGACGCAAGTCGATGATCCAATTTATGATGAATATACTTGGTGGTGTCATCCTGTAGATGTTCATTTTGCTACTAAAGGAATTCAAGGTGGGAATTCTCGCTCATGGTAGCTCTTGTTGTTAATCGTCTGATGAGTAGCTTTTATACATTTTCTATCCTTGAGAAATCCTTGCTTTTTGCTGCTGTGAATAAAATATCGCGGTGGAAGATGAAGGCTCCCAAAACTATCTAGACAAATTTGAATTGTTTTTCATTTAAGAGACAAAATGCGCAGTGTAAAATTGCCATCATTTTAACCTATCGATATCAAATTCCTCATAATGTAAAAATATTCTTGGCAATTAGAGTTTCTGGATTTAGTTGACAAAAGACACAAGTAGCCCATGACTCGACAACAGGACTACGATGAAATATAGTAGAATACAGGGGAACTAGGCTAAAATATAAAATATGAACATAAGACAGTTCAGCTGACTGCTTGATCATTCTCAATCTAACAAAGACTCAAAACACATTAAAAACAATACAGATTCGTATGACCGAAGATCAGAAAAAGAAAAATCTCTGCTCCGATATCTAGTTATACAGATTTTATTGAAATCTATTTTTGTGTAAGTATTTTTGTCAAGGTGCCAAGTAGATGGTAGCCGTACCTGAAGGTTTTTTTTGTTCTTCCCTTCATGGTATACATGTTATTAGCAGTCATCCTAAGTTTTTCAATTTGATTTTTTCTTTGAAATTTAATAGGTTGGCCAAAGCTGCATGTTCAAGTGTACCACTACGATAAATTTGGTAGACGGGAAATTTACGGCTATGGGTTTTGCAATATACCCACGTCTCCTGGCACGCATTTGATTGACTGTCCAACCTGGAGACCTGTCGGTGAGGAAAACTCTTTTCTGCCATTTTGCTTTTAATAAGTGATTGTAATCCTTTTTTTACTTTTCTTAGTTTTCCTCTTGCTCAAGGTAGTATTATAATTTACAAGGGATGATTTGATCCATCAATCAAATTTTCCAAACAGTATCAGCATTACCAAAAACCATGTGAAATATTCTTGAAGGAAGTGACTCAGAAACAATACAGATATTTATCCCTTGGGATCGAACTTTTCAAAGTAAATTCTCCTCTTCTAGTCTTGTAACTGCTAGTTGATTGTTTAATTTGTGTTTAACTCTCCTTTTCGGATTTTGCAGGACGTCCTGAGAACAATGGAGTTCTAATGAGCTTACACTTTTTCTATGTTTATAATATTCTTGGACCCAAACTAATTATTAGTTGATTTCCCAACAAAAGAACGTATCTACATTTCAGCCCTGCAAAATTTACATTCGTAAATTGCATTTTAAACGGGCAACTGATGGGCATTTTAAATTGATAATATGATAGATTTATCTTCTGATTACGCGCAAAAATCAGCAGAATCCTGAGCAGAATTTGCACTGTCATACTCTTGTAAAAATTTAATTTTTTGCATCAATTTTTCAACTCAGGAATAGAATTATGTTCTTTCGTCTGAGAAACTACCAATTCATTATCAGCCTTTGAAGTCACAAATTGACCTGTCCGTACCTAAATTCTAAATACTCATTAAAAAATAATCTTTCTATTCTACAGGTGGAATCAGGGATCAAATTACGCAGTATTTTCTCGGAGGTGGAGCACAACTGAGGATGCCAGATGTTGTCTACACTGGATTAGATCGCTATAAATTACAAACTGAAGCGATGGGTATCGTTCATATTGAACTTGGTCTTATATTACGCAACTTTGAGAAGTATGGAGTGGAATTTTGAACAAGAAGGATCTGAAGCAATAGAATGCCAATACATGAAAATCGAATCAGCAAATAAGATAACTACAATATGTTAAAGTTTTTTTGTCACGTCATGTTGAGAATCTTGTACCTGGATTATATTTAATATTTAAAATATTGATAAGTCAACTTATGCATCCATAGAAATTAAAAATTAGAAATTAGAGACTGAAAATATATTCCCAAAATGATCATGAAGCCTGTTTGGATTAGCTTCTTAGTTCTCTTAGTTTGTGCCTCCTTAGTTTCTAAATTTTCTACAGCTGATGAACTAAGCTCTAACTCTTCAGTAGCGTCTAAATTGACAACATCAAAAATTGTTGATGAAGTCAATACCACCACAATATTACCTGGATCATCGATTTCTGACAAAACCACTTCAATTGAAAAAACTACTGAGTCATTGAAATTTTCAATCGCAACAGAGAAACCTGGCGTTTTGAGAGATGATTCAACAACGAACAATGAATCAAAATCTTTGAAAGAGATCCATGAGACTGATATTTCCTCTACTGAAAAGGTAAAAATATCAAAAATCGAAGAATCAATAGAGCCATTATCAGCAACTACAATAACAACAGTGAAACTAGAACCGCAAGGAGTGAATGCCTCAATATCCTTACCTCAAACGACACCAACACCCGCAACAAAATCGACCAAATCGCCTTTCTCTGTAACCCACAAAAACTCAACCATTTGGACAGATTCCACATCAACTACTTCCATACCTGGTTCAGATTGTTCTTGTGACTTGAAGGTGAGAGAAATTTTTCACATTATTTGTATGGGTACTTGAAGATTTTTATTTTCACTGCAAGAAAGATTGTATTTGATTTACCCAACCACCGATTGGCAACTGACCGCAGCTCAAAAAAAGCAAAACTGGTACGGATAGGTATGCTAGGTGGATTCAAGCTTAGTGTTTTAATACATTTACCTGCGCTGAGCCTCCTCTTCCCTTAGTCTCGCACTGAAACTCATTAGAGTTAATTTTTTACCTAACTTTAATCCTTATTTTGGGTGTTTTTTTGGCTTAGATTTTTCTGCGAAATAATGCAGACCCAAGATTATTTCACTTGCTACCCACATTTTTAGTGTTTTTTCTTCTCTTAAAGCGCAGATCAGGGAGCAATAAAGTTGGGTGGAGTCTGAAACAATTTTTTCTATAAATTGTACTTTTACTGTTCTTCAGAATTAAAATTCAGTAATTAATTTGTACATATTATTCTTCAAGTTTTACTATTTTTGTTACTTCAGTAATATATTTACATTTTGCTCCAAGAATGTGAATCAAAGTCTTAAATATGGATCCCTTGACTTTTCAAAAGTTCATTCTTCATTATATCAAATCTATTGCATGATATTTTTATTTTCAATTTGTGAAAAAGTGACATGAAAAAATCAGGAGCACAAAATAAAGAAACCGTGTTTGCAAATCCAGTGCAGAGAAATTAATTTTTTTAGTGGGTTTCAAAATATAGATACACCAAAAGATTTGAAATAAAAAAGTTCATCTCATCAGTGTAGTCGATTGTTTATCCTCACAATTTTCCGTGCGTCTGCAGATGCATTTTCCCCCAAATTTTTCCGCTCTCTAAATTTGTCTCTTTGTTTTTGACAGAAAGGCACTTGTGATTTGAATTGCTGTTGCGACCCTGACTGTTCAACTTTTGAACGCGCTGTATTTTCATCATGTTACCTGCAAGCTAATTACTCCTTCGACTCAAGATACTGCTATGCCACTCAATTCATCTACAGAAATAACACACAGTTCAAGATTCAAAAAGAAGTGAATTCAGGCTTATTTTGCATTTTGGCAGAAAATTTTCCAGCCAAATCATATTACCATAATGTTCAGGTTAGAGGTATATATTATCGCCAAAAACATAATAAATAGTCATTCTCAGCTTAAGATGCTTCGAAGATGTTGATCAGATTTTTCCAAGGAGGAATCCAATCAAGCGGGAAGAGCTGAAGAGAACAATAAGCTAGAGGATGGCAATAAAGGGTTTTACGAGAAAGAAAGGAGTGTCAGCTCTCTGAAGGGCCTGGAGGGGGGGGAGGGTTGGTAACTATAGGAATTAGGCGCTGCAGAGCGCCAAAGAGCTCTGTAAAAATGGATCATAACCATCTACCTACGTAAAAACCAATGCAAGTCGCACAATTATGAAAACATGGCAATTTATCTGCTGTACCCTCTGAGTAGCTTCAATCAATTTCTTGACCAGAAAATGAAACTCATCATACAAGTTGTATATTTTGGCAACTGAGGATTTATATCGTCTTCTCCTATTTTTCCTCTCAGCGATAGTATTTTTTTATTCCAGACTGTGAAGGATCCAAATCAAATGAAGAGACTCCTGCGACAGACAAATCAGTACTCGTGGCCTGATATTGAAGTATCCGTTTCTAAAAAATCCATCCCTGATGAAGGCTACAGACATGGGTCTTATCTTTGGGCCGTCAAAAACACATCAAATATCTATCCATGGAGTGAGTATTTTTCTCCCGAGTCACTTTCTCTCCATTTTTTAATCATAAAATCATGGAGTGGAAAAGAAGAAAGGGAAAGTCCAACTTGGAATTTTTTTTGGCTCTCCATTTCCATTGCTCTCTACTTTTTGGTGCATTTTCACTTAGCACTGAGGTACCTAATTGCGCCGGAGAAATCAAGTACCTAAGTGAGGAAAAGATTCCTGTTGAGCACAATATCTTTTTTCATTCTTCTGCAAACCAGACCAGGAAAACCTGAAACTTAATGCCAATTTTTTTTTCCCATTGGCTTTGCGTTATTTTTATGTTGTTTTCATAATGTTTTCTATGAGTCCAAAATTTTCTCTGACTGTATTAATTTATTAAAGGTTATATAATCACAATTTAGCTGCACCAAAAAGTGTGTAATAAGAAGAAAATGTATCCCCAACTATTTTTACTTATCCTGACTTTTTTATTACTGACTAGTGTAGAGTGTAGAAATGTTGTTGTATCTCCGTGAGTTGTGTTTAAAAAAGATAATCTTAGTCAGAAACTTATGCAGGCTGAAATTAAACTGATGAAATAGTGCTCACTATTTTACTTGCTCTTTCCCAATAATTATTCTTGGCCTAAACATGCTGAAACAGAAGTATGGAATTAAATCTGGAAACCGAAACAACCGTTTTTCGCACTATTAGACATGTCATAGATTCAATATGCTTTTCAGGATCCGCATGAAGGCACCTGTGCTCAAATGATTGGGGTTGGATTTATAAAATCTCTTGAAGTTTTTAGGTTTTTACAATACGATATTGAAAGACTAATCTGTACTGCTTATTTACTTTGTAACTGATGTGATGGTTGCAGTTCAAATTAATTGAATTTCGTTGCTTATTCCAGGTTTACCCACTCGTACAATATCATCATTTTGCAAAAGCAAGAAAGAGCTGATTTTTTTGGAGGAGTGGTCCAGCTCTTGTAAACATTTAATCTCAAATGAGGAAGAGTGCTTATCAAGTGTTCACAATGCAGAATTATTCTTCAAGAATGTCAGCTTTCTCAAATCGCCTGCTCTCATCAATGGCTCTGATTTCGAGGTAAGTTCTTACCTTAATTGCACTCATTCGTGTATTACCCAAACTTTCTAAGATCAAGGGATTGTCGTATAAAATCAAAAGGAGGGAAAGATTGGTGGTTTCAGGATGAAAATGTCGTAAAGTAGGTGCATTATATGTAAAGAATGCATATCAGGAAATGCATCAGTACTCAAGGGTTGTCTCAGTGGCTTTTAGTTTTAGTAAGCAATCATAAAAGTTCTGTTAAGAATGGACCACTAGACAAGGTACGAAGTTAAGCATTCTGATACATGTTTCTTGACCAAAATTTTACGTAGAACACGACTTGCGCGCCTAAAATTACTGAAATTAACTCATAACCAATATATTTAATGTTACTTGACGCGTGAATTCAAATCTCCCGCTCATGAAAACTCAATGGTCTATGTGAATCAAATCGCACACTTAAAATTATCATGAGACTCTCCGCGATATGAAAATCTGGAATCCTCAATCTTGACGCTTAGGCTCAGCTGCAGCAAGTTGTTTATAGTCTGAACATCATAGGGTGAAAAATGAACAGTGCTGGATTGAGGAGCCTGCCAAAACCGCTGTAGTGCGCGATTAGATTCACGTAGTGTATTGAGTTTCGTCTGATCGGGCAATTCAAATTGCCTGTAACCAATGTAAAATAAAAACGTTAATATCTTAGATAGAAAATGATTTTGCTAATTTTCAATGCAAGAATCGTGTTCTATGTGAAATTCTGGTTACGAAACATATGTCAAAATCCTTAAATTCGCACCTTGTCTAATGGTCCATTACATACTGACACAAATCGCATCCTTACCAATTGTAGTTGAACTTTTTAAAGAAGAGAATATTGGCTTTTGCCATTTTATAAGTTCTACTAGCTGCGCTACCAAAGTTAGCTCATTGGACATCTCACCAATAAAAATCCCTTTGAACAACCCTGTTCAAGCTTTTCAACTTCTTTTCCACTCTCTTTTGTAGCCAATACTTTCTGTTTCAGAGTTGCAATAGGACATACTGTGTTCCAGTGGAGCCGTTCCTATGCGGATCAGACAGCATCTGTCGAAATCTGACAGGCCCAATCAACAACTATTATAATCGCAGTGAAAGAATCTGTCATAACGTTATTCTTTCCTTGAATTTTGAAATATACCATAACGGCTCGGCAGGAATAAACAGAGTCAAAGCACTCCTTCGCTTGCAAAACATCACAGTATCATCTTCCTCGTCCTCCTCATTTTTCCAGAACTTCAAAGTAACTTTCAAGTGGCTGAATCAGGCGAATTCAACACTAGAGAGAAGTGGGTTCCCAGGCTATTTAGTTAGAAAACCTTTAATATCAGGCTCCAAAATTATTATTAATTCAACAGCGGAGATGAATAAAACAATCATTCAATATCAGCTGGAATCTAAACGTTGGATCAGCTTGCTCAAAGCGGATGACAAACTGATGTGCCACAAAACTGAAAGGATGAACATTCTGTTTGGGACTAATTTCCAAACTTCCTGTCAATACGCATTTCCAGAGGATAGTCTGTACTCAGTAGATGGTTGTTCAAATTTAAATTTAAAGGTGGGTGTTTCACTTTTGTCTTTATGCTGCTTGAATAACCTACCCCTCAATGTTTTTGGTATCAGGAGAAAGCAGTTTCATTTATTGATTAGAACTTTGTTATCCCCTCATCATAAAATTCAGTGATCATATTGCTCCAAATTTGCTCTGCAAGTGCTATTTTACAAGCTCGAAACATGGTCTCTTGCATAATTATTTCAATATCAATGCAGTTGCAAGTGATGTAAACATTTTCCACCTGAAACTATGATTTTTACTTTATGAAGGAGTTTTATCAAATTAAAGTATGTCCAAAGAATTTAAATTTATATATGTACATTGGTGAGCAAATCTCTCCCAGGAGAATGGCTCAAAATGACTCCTAAAAAGAGCATCTTTCATAACCCTAACAATCCGAGCATAATTTGGTTTTTTACTTTTCTTGTTCATCAATATCAGTTATCATCAATTCTAATATAATGATTTTCATCTCGAATAGAAAGATTTTCTTCTTCTCAGGTAGATTTGATTAGAATTCGTACAACAGTAATTCTACCACTTATTTTCGCCCATGGTCTTTCTACTTTCTTACCTCTTTTGTAAAATCACATTTTTTTATTCTAGATCATGGAAAATCTACTTGGCACCAACATCAGCGATAATGCAGTAAACCTCTTTATCTCCTCTTATGGCGATCCTAGCGGAGAGCTTACAGATTGGGTCCCTATCATCCTGCAAGAGCAACAAAAGCAAGATTGTGACAGTCTCATTGCAGGAATCCGGCTGAATATTTTTTATGCGTTTGTAGGTTCAGTTTTAAACCCTCAAGCAAAAATATTTCAAGTGTCCGTAAACTTTCATAGGCAGTCTCTGAATAACCAGAACCAAAATTTATTTTGCCACTTCAAAGTTTGTAGTCTTTCTCTGACCAGTTCAGTTGTATTCACAGACACGACCATGATCCCTTTTAAGAAATTTGCAGCGATCCCAGTCTATGAGATAAAACTTCCTCAGGACTTCTTCTACCCGTTTCTTTCATCCGAGAGCTCCATGTATCGCAACAGCTACTTCCAAATTCTTTTGATTCAGATTTTTGTACATAATATTGTAAGTATTAGAAGTTAATTTTTTTCCTTTTATGCTATCAATAAATTTTGGATTTCAAGAGAAAATTTTGGTCGGTATTTCTTTTTATTTGACAAGACCAAGGGCCACACTCACATTTGACTTGGTGGGTGTAGAAAGGCCGTTTCGTGGTTGCGGAATCTCAAAATCTTCACCACCAATTTATATTATCGAGAGGAAAATATTCAGGGAATTTTCTGAAATTTTTCGTTTTCAGCATTGTAAAATCATGAACATTATTTAGTAAAATTTTCAACGAATTCCATCCATTTGCTTTAATTAAAATGAATGAAACTCTAGCGGAGAATCTGAGACACCGCAACCTAGAAATGCTCTTTTTGCACCTAGCTCTTCATTTATCTTTTTAACTTTCCCTACCAGCATTGACTGTAGAATTTAGGCGTGAAAAAATTGTGAAAGTTTACAAGTCAGGAATCCCTTTTAGTTATTTTTTTAGTAAAATTTACGTTGAAAAAATGTTATGTAAAAAAGATTGGCATCATTTTGAGGTTGAAATTGAAAGTTCTCTGATCAGGCTGAAACCGAGCTAGTCCCTTTGTAAATGACCGGCCTAGTCCTGTTTTTTTATCCAAAAAGCTCCACAAGCTGCTTCGTGCTGTTGGCGAAAAACGCACAAACCTCTTCGGGTGAAAGGGGATAACTGATTTTTGAAATGAGCCCTATTGTATACATACATGACTCAATTATTTTCTACGCTCTTGTGAAAAGAAGATGAGCCTTCATGTCAGGAGAGCAATGATAAGGGAGCTGAACAGAACGTATTTTGAATGAATAGTAATGAAAAAAGAAAACCGAATTACTTTAAATATTTTTCTATTCTGTAACATTCAAGCGAGAAATCACAAGATTCATCAGACTGGTTAATACAAATATACAAATGACAATTTTTCCGGATCAAAAAATAGACACTTTGGTAGAAAAAAAAGAAGGGATCACAAAAATTAAAAAAAAACTGTTCAGTGTTTTACAAAGAGGAATTCTTGCAAAGGGAACCTCAGGTGATCCGGAGATGATAAAACCATTTGCAAACTGAATAAATCGCAAAATACAGTTTTCAGTTTTCTCGGTTCAAAATAATACTTGGGGTCCATCGGTAAAAGTGAAGAGAGGGCAAAAAACCTACTTCATCAAAAATAGCATTGTGTCTGTAACATGAGTCAAGTAGAAACTGTACAGATAAAAAGTTTCAGGGAGAGAAGGAAGAATATTCTGATAAAAACATAAGCAAGTGAAGTTGCTGGGAAATTTTGTATACTTTGTACATACATAACAAAAGTTTAGAACCAGGCAAGCATGTTCACAGTGTGACAAAATAAAACTTTCTATTAAAAAAGAAAAAAGGAATACCTAAAATTACTTTCTAATTATCACAAACAGTAAAGTCAAAAATACAGGATAGATAACTAGTGGAATGGGGGTCTTATGTACTCCTTCTCGTGAGTTAAAGAACGAAGCCCAGAAAAAAGGGTATCATTGAGGGGATTATCAGTAGGTACATATATATAGAAAGAGGGAAAATCCCTCTAAGCTAAAGTAAGGATCATTATAATATGTTCTTGAATGGTATTCATATTTCGTAAGAGATGCCTACGAAAATGAAGTGATGAAATTCTTGGACAAGTTTGAATGAAAATCTTAGTAAAATTCGATTTTATCATTTCACATTCCATGATTTAAAGCTTTTGTAAATATTAAGGTATTTTCAGGGTAGCTGTGGTACGTAATTGAAGAGTTTCCTCTATTTAGATTAAATTGATTTCCTTAGGGGCCAATCCTGACACTTCTGGATGAAGTTTTGAAAAAAATTCAGGTTGCAAGATAAAAAATTTGCAACTTGAGCATTTACACATTGAAGATACATCTCTAAGCATTTCAAAGAAAGTTCGTAAAAAAAATCAAAATTTTTAAAAGTTTGATTACTCTTTTGGCACTAAAAGATTATAACTTTGAGAACAAAATTAAGAATGTGAAAATAATTTTTCCAGTGAAATACTTTCCATGTCTCTTTAATTTTGACATCCTGACAACACATACCGTTGCTACAACGAAAAGAGAATCATTTGCCGTAACAGTTTCAATAATTGCAAAAGTCGGCTAAGGTTCTCTTTTGATCCTATTTATGATTATTCGTGACAACCGCTCCTCTTTTAAGCCCTTCCTCTTCAATGAAAATTAATCAGCCTTTACAAAAGTACCCTCCTTTATGAGAAACTCAACTTGCATTGAATAATGTCAACTTTGATTCATTCTTATTTGGATACTTATATTACTAACTGTTCTACATCTTTTGTCCCTTAATTTGAAGTACAAAACTATCGAAGTCTTAGAAATCGACTTTTTTTCTCAACAGTCAGTTGAGTTACTAAGCAAAAACTCTCTAGGATATGTTCAAAATCGATTGCTCAAAAACAAACAGTACATACAAAGAACAAAAATTTGAAAGAAAGGAACTTCTGATGAAAATTCAAGCAAGTTAAATAAGACGAAAGTAAGACGTAGGTGGGAAGCACAGATTTGTTAAGTCAATCAGAAGTACCTTATGGTATCAGATAATCTACTTACAACAGACACGGAGGGTTATCAGTGTGAATGTAAGTGACAACTACAACTAAATAAGAAAAATAATTGTTACACAGTTCTATGGTAGAGAGCGTTCAGTGAAGCCTATTGAAGACATGAATTATCCGAAAATTTAAATCTTTATCAAAAGCCGCTGGTAAAAACGACACACAAGGTTTCCATTATTTTTCTGTATTCCAAACCCTCAACTTTTTTGCTCTCCGATGACTCCAAAATTTCGAATTCTCTGACTTTCCCTGACCTTTGAACAAAACTTTCACTTATATTTTGTCCTTTTACATAATTATGCTGAATTAATATAAAAGTACTATAAATCTTTTGAATCATCTCCTTACAGGCAAATCTATGAGGAGGAGTCTTTGTGCAAGAACTGAATTAACAGACACAATTTTCTGATGAAATTTTTTGCTGAACTAAGGCTCAGACATCATGAGACCTTTAACTTTTCCATTAATATTCTTCTTTTACTTGATGAAAATTCCTGTTAAATTATACTTCCAAAGCGATGTTTCATTATGGTATACGCGTATTTTGATTGCGGTGCTTCAAAAGCTCTGTTCCCATTTTGTTTTTCAAAGGAGATAGAGTCAACATCATTGCTTGAAATTTTTACAGAATACTTTTCACGCAGAGCAGAAAAATTCCAACATTTTTTTTTAGAAATTTTGTTGAGTAATTTTCCATTTAGAGAATAAAGTGTGATAGGAAGTCTACATCGACACAAGCTAAATTCGTTTTTCTGCAGTTACATCGTCACGATGCTGTCCAGAACTCTCTCAACTAAGTTTTTGGGGTTCAGTTTGCTTTTTTTCTTTCTAAAATATATTTCAACAATGATGTGACTGGCATTAGGATTTCTTGTTATACAGAGATGTACTGAGAAAAAAAAAAGAGCTCACTTAAAGAAGAGAAACAGTAACAGCTCAATAAAGATCGACAGACCAATGAATAAATACATACAGACAACAACTGAGAAAAACTCAGATGTATTGTTATGTCAAGTTGATTTGTTTATCTTAATAGCTAATAAAGTACACTAGACTGGTACTGAGGAAGCAAATGTGTCTTTTTTAAAATAAATTGATAATTAATGAATATGGTCTCCGTGGAAAATCTTTACAAAGATAAATATGTAAATTAAATATGAAGTTCCTACTATAAAAATACATCCTCATTCCGAGAGGACTGAACAATAAACCTAGATAATTTACACCTAGAATCAGCACGATAGCACTTCAAAAATCAATGCATTTTGCACAGGAGGTCCCAAAACATGCTTATTATAAGTAAACACATAAGTGCTTATAACTAAATATATTTACACAACAAGGCAATACAAATACAAACTTAATAGGTACAATCTTTGACTAGCAACAAGCAGCAATATAGAGAGAAAACAACAACCTGAAATGCAATGCTCAAGGATACAGACGAATGAAAGATGAATCCAAACTTGGTAACACAGTCCCTGATATTGAAAAAAGAGAACACCAAGCTGTCAAAACTATTACGTACAAACCTAAATCAAAATCGACCACAAAGTCTGCAAGGGTAGGTACCTGGTTTTGCAAAGAAAAACAGAATTGTGACAGTTACTGGATTCAAGTACACAAATGATCCTCAAGAAATCATTTGTCAAAACTAGTATGTCTGTAAAATTGCACATGTCAACAGTGAAACTTTGCAAATGCGTATCTCAGTTGCGATTTTTCAAAATCTTCGTTCCTATTTTACTTTTTAAAAGGAGATCAAGCCAACATCCTGGCTTGAAATTTTTACAGAATATTCTTTGCAAAGAGAAGGAAACTCACAAAAGGTTTCAAGAGATGACGTAACATAGTTTTCTGTGAAGAAAATAAAATATGACAGGCAGAGTACAATGCCACTAAGTGAGACAGGCATTTCTGCAGTTTTACGATCGATAAGTCTAATACATATTATCGAAAGCGTGCATACTACTATGCAAATCTAGTACTTAGTATCACACTTTATAACAGTCAGATGGACGGATTTAACTGAAATCCGCCTAGCTAAACTGGACGTTGTCGAATTTCTTCTAATTCTTTATTTTTTGAGCAGAAAACTAAGCAATATTGAAACTTGAAATTTTCTAGGTACTTCATGGTACTCGTACATGGTTATTTCACAGAGAGTTTAGGGGCGTTAACTAGTTTAGTTCTGTCAAAAAAATAAAACGAAAGAGAAAGTTAGGTGATGTGATATACAGATAGGCTGATTCCAATTAAATCCGTTCTAATATTACTAGACTTTAATAGGTAATCACTACAATCTTTTTCGATCCGTAAAATTTCAAAGATTGCAATTTTTCACTCTGTTGCATTCAAACAACCTAGAGGCCAGTTTACGACATTTGATGTGAATTATATTCAACGGTAGAAAATTTATCCTACCAACCTGATGGCTTTACAATTTTTGGCTGTGTAAAAATTTAGCCGGCCTCATTTAGGTAGAAGATTCATTTGATTACAAAATACAGAGAGCCCAGTCAGTTTTTTTTTTTTTGGGAGGGGGGGGAAGCAAGATAATGTTGCTAATTAATTCAGAACAGGACTCAGATTACTTATGGTCAGTTTTTCGGAACATGGAAGACAAAACTGCTGCATTAAAGACAAAAATTCTGAATCCAATACTTAAATATGGTTATGATGGCTCAAATTAAACGTTTTCTGTCAAAAAACTGGGGCAGATATTAAACCAAATTTTCAGAGGTCATAGATTAAAGTTTGAAAAAAAGTTAAACAGAAGAGAAAAACTTTCTTTACATCAATTAAGACTTTAGGAATCTGGTGGAAAAATGTTTCAAGTTGATCTTTCAGATAATCACTCTAGGAGACAATACAGGTCCCTGTATTGTAGGATAGCATTAGGGATGACCAAGAATTAGGGCTGAGACAAGGGTCTGAAATTGAGGACATAATTTATGACTGAAAGATGATTTTTCATTAACATCTCAGAAGCTACAAAAAAAAAAAAAAAATTCCAGTATCTCGTTGATTTGCCAAGCCCTACACACTTGAAATATAAATGTAAGCCGGATGTTAACCAGAAGGATCACATTTTTATTTCCTCAACTGTCCTTTTACATACCTCATTTTGACTGGTTCATAACCTTAAAGGAAGTGTCTGTTCAAATGACAGCTTCAAGATAGAAAAATAAGTGCAATTTTCCTTCATACGGGCTATTTAGGTTAAAAAAAGCACCAAAGTGAATACTCCTTTCTCAGAAAGAAATCGTTTCTTGGGAAAGTGAGAGAAGCATAATAATCGGGGAAATATCTTGAGAATTGATACTACTTGGGCTTCTTTTAATGTTTAAAACGAAGTAAATACGTTTTTTATAACCCCGTTACTACCTTCCTGACAAGTTTAAATGATACTCTTGGTAGGACCAATTTTGAGCTCTAAATCCAGTTGTCAAGACACAGCATAACTATACATAAAATGAGCAGAAAGGTCTATGAATAGTGCAATCGGAAAATAAGTTAAAAAAGGCTCCTTTTCTTGCTTTCATCCTTGCCAATATTAATCAGGGAAAAACTATAGCACGTTTCTTCCTATCAGTTACTTCAGATGGTAAACTTTTTGTTGCCCCAAAGGTACAAAAAGTAAATGACTGAGGCAATTAGTGACACTTAGCACCACAATTTTTATAATACAAATGCATATCAGAAACACCGACTGGGTCAGATGTACATTTTGTTCAATCATAAGAGTGAATTTATCAATTCGAGTAAGAAATTAGTATCTTGCGAACAGCTTTAACCAATCTTGAAAGAATTAATACACAAATAAGAGCCGCTTTTACAGCGCTTTCTGGCGTTCTGCAATACCTGGTCGCCAGAGACATGGGAGCTAGAATTCCTTCATTTCTTATTCAACCTCGTTCAGCCACCCTTTCACTTCAACTTACTTCCATCCTTTCCTCCTTCCAGGATTATTCACAAAGCTACGATTAAAGTCCCTGTCAAATATGAGACATTTAGTTTTGATTGAATACAAAAACTACAGCTGACCCACTCAGATAGAGATATGATTCAATTCACTTTGACAAAGGAAAATAATGATGTGATGATACAATTAAATTTCTGTCTCAGCGCAGAGTAGTTTTCTTTGAACAATGGATGCATCTTCTGGGCTTGAAGAGATGGATGTTGATCTTGATCGAGATGAGTGAACTAAGGGTTCGGTTGCATCGTTGAAAAATCTACTTCGATACAGAACTGGAGTGGAATAGGGATTAACAGCATTATCTAACAAAATATTATGTGAGCCAGCTTGCACTCTTACTGAACAAAGACGAGGGCCGACAGGAGATACTTTAGTCGAAGTATTTTCCTTGCAGTTTTCGGATGAGCTCAAGGAGGAATTATCAAAACTAATCAAATTACAGGATGTCGATGGAGAGTCATTATCAGAATCGGAAAATTTGTCCGCCGAAGGAATGGTCACACCAATGCTACACTCCTTTTGCTTACCATTGTTTATATTGTTATTATTACAATTATTGCAGGAACTGTTGATTTCTTGGATAAGTTTTTCATCAGAGGATGACAAATTTGAAGGCTGTTGACTAATTTTGCTGACGCTAAAACCAGACTTGCTAGAGTCCCGTTTAGAAAATTTAATACCAGGTCTTGTGAGTTTAGGTGCTGCTTCAAACGAATCAAAGCTAGGATTTTTATAACTATCACTTCCATTTTTCATTACTGCTTTGTTGTCAAAGTCAAAAGATGTAAAAAAAAGGATATCATTTTCATCCGTCTGGGTGCATTTGTTTTGGGAGGTGCGCGAGGAACAAAAGCACGTTCGACAGTGTTTCGGAGAAGCTCTTTCTCTTTCCCTCTCTTCTAAAACTTTGGCCATTATTGCTGCTGAGACAATATCAACTGGAGATTGAGGTGGTTTCCCCGAGGCATCGTCACACTGTGATTCCTTATCTGAAAAATGAAAGAAATTCCAGTTGAATTGATTTCTTATAGTAAACAGAATTAGAGTGCCTGTCTGGGGAGAGTATTGCCATGTCTGTGTCGCTCCTTGATTGGCTTGACAGTGATAGGCTTTTCATGAAACTCTTAAGGACTAATGTAAGCAAAACCAATCGAGAGAAATTCGGATTTTTGAAGGAGGAATGAATCATACTCACAGGAAAAGTGAAATTCTCGGCAGTAATATCCATCAAAATTTCTAACAAACTAATTTTGGGAATATAAATATGAAAAATTCTCATCTTGTCTAGAACTCTGCCGCCATCTTGTTTATTGTCATCGGTCCCAAACTAGGGGCAGAGGGTTCCATAAGCGAGAAAAAATAGCATGGTCAATCAGTGAGCTGCACTGTCTTTCTGTACTAAATGGGTTGAGATGACATTACTCTCTTAAAATAGGTGCTCTGCTCTGAGCTTATGCTTTCATGCAGGTTTTGAATTAAATCAAAAGAGTGGCTTTTCAATGCATCATCCCCCCCCCCCCCCCGTTGTTTTCAACTAACCCCCCCCCCCGATGTAATGCCACCAGGCGGTGCCAGGGTCTTTGTTAAGTAAATCAATATAATTTTAAAGTTAATGTTTATTAGTTCATATTAAACTTGTTAATATTATGTATCATTACTTAATAAAAAAAAAAAAATGCATCATTCAGAGCAGGAGAGATAGGTCAAAAATAAAACTCAGTTTGCCCCTTTGTGATGTTATGACTACCACTTAACTTATGACAAATTGGAAATTATTTAGGGATTTCAGAAGGAGCATCTTCTCAATTTTAGATCTTAAAATTGAATTTTAAGGATTTTCGAGTATTTAAAGTTGCTTTGCTGTTTGTTTTTGTTATTGCTTTTAAATTTGTAAAAAATTAAATGCTTGTCAAGCAATTGCAAAGGCTACCGATGTGCTATTTTGGATAGTAAACTTCGCTTTAAAACAGTGCATTAGACAGGCATTTTTGGGCTTCATTGTCACACTTTCTATTTAGGCAGTTTTGCTTTCACTTTAAGGAGGAAGATAATTATCATTCAAGGCAGAATGAAAATCATAGAGACGCCCTGATGTAAAGAAAAAATACACACTGAAAATGTTACCTGAATACTGTAAGTACCAACGGTGAATATTGCTAGGTCTGCACCAATGCAATTTTGCCCGTATTTTGATCCTTTTGAGCATCAGCTAAATCAGCTTCAAATTGGCTCAAATTTTATACAGCCTATTATGTTCATAGATAGCATTGATTGCCATACGGACCTCGTCGATTTTCCTACATGACGAAAATAAGCGCACCCTGATATCGCCCTCATACATACAAGGCGAGGCATTGCACAAAAATGGGATTCGCGCTTTATTTGCCGTCGCTGCTGGAAAACTCTCCGGTTAATACAAGGAAAACATCCTAAGAATGCTGGCCCCTATGAATGTCACAAGAACTGTTGATCACACAGCCTTGACTCGCAGCTTCTTCATAAAGTTAGTTACAGAGACATTGAAATCTGTTCAAATGATGAACTGACTACTTGCATAGTAGTACTCAAATTAAAATTGAGACACTTTCCAACATATCAACTGTCACTGTTTTCCTGATAATTTGCGGCAAGTTGAGAGGTGCAAAAAACTTGCAAATATAACGGATATCGCTTTGAGGCAGCGGTAGTGTCTTCTCTCGGATGCGGAAGTAACGTGAGCTTCCAGAAAAGTGACCCTGAGGACCAGCGTGGCAACTAACGTATGAACAGGAAGTTTCCAACCAAGCAGAAGAGATTGTAAAATAACTCACCAATTGTAGGTTTATCCAGAGAGTACACCATGGCGGTGGGAGGAAAAGTTGGTATTGGCACTTTAATTGTTTTCATTTCATGCTTGGTCTGTATGTTGCCATTTCCATCAGGGAATCTTCTGATACTCTTGGGAGTTAAGTGTGATCTAACTTTTGCTTGAATATCACTCGGTAACTGAAACAAAGTCAAATTTGCTTAGAAATTAGGACATTTAAGTGGCATTGCAATATAAAGTTTCTTAAAATAACGTTTTCCCAGAAACAACTGTCTATTTTTTCCAGCCCCGATCAGTCATTTCTCGTTACAGCGTTTCTCAAAATAACCTTTTTTCAGAAATTACATACTACTTTCATTTCTCTGTCAAAAACGTTATGACGAATATGAATGGACATAAATAGAAATAGTGCTTTTATATTATTTATATTATTGGCTTGGAGCCAAAGGATAGAAAATAACTTTTCTGGGGGGAAACAACCAAATAGTTTATTTTCTTGGTATGTCAAATAGACACTGATTACGTGAAAACAAAAATTATGAGCCATATTAAACTCTGGAAATGAGATAAAAATTTGAGCTACCTGAAACGGTTACCGGTCATCAGCAATTCGAATTTTGCCGTGACCATCTTCCAAAATTATTTGAGGAAATGTAACCTGTTGGCGAGAAACAATTAAGAGTTTCCAGTTGTGATGAAATTAAACAATTACATTAGATACTTACAGCATCTAGTCTTTGTGGCACAAAATTGGAAGGTTTGCAATGCAATAGCTGTATGGCTAGATTTAAATCAGTTTTATACCGCTCCTGAAACAAATGAAATAGAATTAATCCTAAAGCCCAGAAACACTTTAGAAAAATTGAGTGGGATACTTATGAAAGGTTAGAATAGAAAAAATTAATGGCAGAGAATGAATCTTGCTGAGTTGGCATGGCAGAGATTAAACATTTTACAAAAATGAATGCAAACTATGATAAAGAATGAATTTGTATCTTGGACTCAAATAATAAAAATATATTTATAGACTTTTTCAATGGACTTTACATTGAGGAACACTGTAGTTGATGCAGGCTCATAATTCAGCCTACCGTAACTTATCTGTGCAAAAAATTTTAAAATTTGGATTTTATATCATTTGTGATATTTTTGTCTGCAAAATTTTTGCTGCTAAATAACTTGTGCCTGGCGTAGAAATTCTTCTGATTAATTAATTGTATACATAAGTCGCTTTTACAGCGCGCTAGGGCGCTCTGAAAAGCCTACCCACCACACACAGTGGGTTTTAACTAAATCTAATTAAGAAAATGAAAGTCCCCATGTCTGAAGGCGGAAAAGCACAGCGAAACACCTCAGGAAAACATCCCCGCTGAAAAGAAAATCATTCGTTGGGCCGTTTTTTTTTGCCCCCCCCCCCCAAGCCAAAATGGCGGCCGATATGCGCCGCCGCGGGGTGCAAATGTTACAACTCCCTAATGTAACTCCCTGTGTTACAACACATCGATTCCTATGTAATTTTGGTCGTAGAATCCGAATATGAGGTCAGAAATCCCTCACGACCAAAAGGGATTGCGCAAATTCATGATGGCGGCCAAAAATAGGCCCCGGAGTGAAAATTCTCAATTCCAGCTTTTGGTGACGAGTGAGATGTCTTTTTTTATGTTTTTTGGGTCATAGGATCCAAATTTGAGGTTAAAAATTCCCTTCTGGCCGACAGGGATCCCTCAAATCCAAAATAGCTTCCATTTTGGGGCTGACATATTATTTCCGAAAGACGCGTGTAGTCGAGTGAGGTGTATTTTTACATGTTTTTTGGACCACATGATCAGAAACTGGGATCCAAACTGTGTCCCTGTGGGCCGGAAGGTAAGATTTGTCCCTTAGCACCTTGATTGTAACGTTTTTATCAACTATTTAAATAAAAACTCAGAATTTCACTGTTTTCACTGTTTCACTGTTCAAAGAAGATTATTTTTGTTTTGTTCCTATTTCTCTTGCGCTAGTTTTTTTGTGAAGCAGGGGACTATAGCCCCTGCTAGGCAAAAAGGTCAAACATTATTTGTAAGAATAGAGCATTCTTAGTGTGGTTGGCGCCGTTCTAACAGTGAAATTCTGAGTTTTTATTTAAATAGTTGATAAAAACGTTACAATCAAGGTGCTAAGGGACAAATCTTACCTCCGGGCCCACAGGGACACAGTTTGGATCCCAGTTTCTGATCATGTGGTCCAAAAAACATGTAAAAATACACCTCACTCGACTACACGCGTCTTTCGGAAATAATATGTCAGCCCCAAAATGGAAGCCATTTTG